TTATGAATTTTTAATATACCATCCTATGAGGGTGTTGTATAATTTAGTTGGAACAATTTTCTTCCAACATTTTACAAAGATTTGCGAAAAATATACTGAGCTATTGATATTAGGTACTAGTGTATCAAAATTTCCAAATCTTCGATAATACCTATTCATAAGTTGACAATGCCTGAAAATTGAGCTGAAACAGTTGATTTTCATATTTTGGCGAGAGTCCTCTTTTTCATGTTTTGGCGAAAGATAACTCCCTCCTAATGCTCTTTCGCCAAATCCTTAAAATAAACGATGTGATAGTGATTTAGATTGAAAATCGTCGGAAACGTACATTCTTATGATTCTGTTACCAGTGTTACCTACATCACATTTTCCGCAGTTTCCTTATCAAATTATGACAAGCTGTTGAAATTGGCATGTAGGAATTTGGAGTGTAATTTCCACAATAATTTTCGCATCTTATTGAATTCTGATCTGATAGGTAGGTGTCCTTCCTATAATAATAATAAGAAACACTTTATTGGACATATTAACGTAGGTATACAAAAAAATGTTGTCCCATAGTTCGATAAAACGATACTTGTTTCGTTACACAAAATGAAATTACAATATTGAATGAATACAAAAAACACAGCAACACGAACACAATCCAGATTAAAATATAGATGATTTTATAATATATCAATAACCAAAATATATTTGATTGTTATTCTAATATACGATGAACTTCGATTCTTTGTCTGATGAGTAGATATTTTTTCAATTCTTTTTTGAAACGTGTAATATGTCTTATTGATTCTATTGTTTTTGGTATAAAATTGTAGAGCTTCGGAGCATAATAGTTATATGAGCGTTGGGTTACAACTAGGTTACAACTCTAACCATCAGTGGTGAGGATGGCGATCTTGAATCGATTTTTCCGAAGATCGATGTTTTCGTCTGAAAAAATCGTTTTTTTTTTTTAGATCGATCTTCTTCTGTTCGAATCAATATCTTTTTCACACTTCTTCCTGTATTTTGTTGAAGATTTTCTATGATCTAATCGAGGTTCGATTTTACTGAAAATCGATTCCAAGAATCGATCCTTTTCCCAAAAATCGCCACCCCTAATCAGAGGTATGTCAACATTATCTTTTTGACGAGTGTGATATTGATGAGAGGGAAGTAGAGCGGTATGTTTATTTTTATGATATTTAGTAGAGCATAAAAAGTACATATGCCTTTTATCTAGAATTTGAATTTCAGTTTCAGTGTAAAGAGTGATATCTACTCTTTTTGGAAAATATTAATTTGAGAAACCGTCTTTGTAATTGTTTCGAGATGGCAAATACGTGTTTTCAAAGCTCCTCCCCATACTGCAGCTCTTTTAGTTTCCTGAATTCATATAGAATGGTCTTCAATTTATTGAGAATATAATTCACGAGATAATTCAAATGAAAACTGAATTTTCTTGTTAAATTTGGAAATCGATGAAATTATGCAAGTACAGGGTGTGCCAAAAGAAGTTGATACTCCTGTAACACTTGTAATTTCCGGTGATTCCATTCTTGTTCTTTAGCTTAGATCCTGAAAGCATATATTTGAGGAAATATTACGTGCACTAAAATTTTCGAACAGTTATTTACTTTTTTATGATTTCAATATCTTTCTCAGTATTTTGAAAGCTTTCTCAGTATATTGCAATTCATTTTTGAATATGACATAATTGATTATATGCACTAGCGGGCCGTAAAGTGCACTTTACCGCCCGGTTTTGCGGGCGTTAAGTCGCACTTTACCGCCCGCGGGCTCATTATGGCCCACGGGCCGTAAAGTACACTTTACCGCCCGCTGTTCTCAGTCACCTTATATCCACATATCAATTTATAAAAAACCTATGATCATATTCCTAGATTCTTATATATCCAGCGGTATATCATAAACTTCTTCTTCATCCGATTCCATAGTCTCGCTATTATTATTATCACTAATTTTACTTTTCAATCAAAGAATGACAATTCAGCTCGTTTATTGGATGTATTGCTATAGACAACAACCATCAGATTGATTGACAACGTCAAAATAAGTTAGGTTTATATACTGGGTACTGGGTATGCATATTGTAAAATTCTGAAGAATGAATCTCTTCTACAGCTGAAAGAGTTTTACTATTACGATAATTGCAATATTCGTACGATAATTTTCATATGTAAATCATCCATGAATATTACGCTTCTCTTGATTACTGAATTTATACGTAACAAATTAAATTCTGGGGAATATTACTTTATCGAAATCTATAGTCATTACTTATGAGTCAGAAAATAAACCACTAGTGCATAAAATTTTGTATGTATCTCGTGCGTGAAATGCGTTTATGGCCTTCAGCGTGTAATGGCCCTCGGCTAGCGCCATCGGGCCATTATTCACGCCACAGGCCATAAATGCCTACTTTACGCCCTTGATACATAAATAACTAATATTCACCAAATTTCAGTCTTCTCAACATTCTTCATTATTATAGGCATACTGATCCATTATTTGGATTCCTTTTCAATTATTTCAAATATTCCGAGAAATATTGTTTCAGTTATTCTTTAAAGAAATAAGATCCTTAATTACTTTTTCATTACTTTAAAATATTTGCTCGAATATTTGTAACATCTATTTGTTTGAATGCTTCTGCCTGAAATAGGTAATAAAGTAAAAAAATGTATCATGGACTTTGAAGAACGAAATTTATTTGGAAAAACATATTAGTTCATCATTAGCAAAATTCTTCTTTCTATGACCGATCAAATGGTGATTTATGTTTGCGGAAATAAAATGTTTGTGTTATCATGTCGAATGACAATTAAATCGTCCACTTGAGGGATTGAATGAGTCACTAATTTCAGTTTAGGTTCATTTCATTTTAATTTTGTCGATTTTTGTTCAAAAACTATACCAAGAGACCAAAACTCCTCTATAGATTACATCGAGAATTGTTCGTTTAATGTTGAATCGGTTTGGACTCATGCAGAAGAACCATCATTCATTTTTATTATAACTGGAGGGAAAATTCGTTGATTAGAGAATTAAATTTAATTACACCATTTCCGGCAATTATGTCGTTTGTCTAATCTCGACTACTGCTCTTCGGTATACTTTATTTTATGGGAAAGATTAAGAGAGGGCAGTTACCTTGAGATATTTTATATTTATGGGACGGTGGACACTGAAATTGATATCTTTATAGTTTATAGTAGGAAATGACATGCCATTAGTATTGTGATATCACTGAACCTATCAAGCTTGTATATTATTATATGTACACAGAGCATCATTAAAATCGAGTGGTACAAAATCAGCTCAAAAAAATGAAAACTAAAAAGTATTGTTTGAAAAATTCACGCTAGTTTCATTTCATGTAGGTAACTGAAATTTAATATTGTAAAATTATATTCCGATTCAAATTCACTGCACTGAGATGTATAGAGTGCTTGATTATGAATATTATAGAACTTCCTGTGAAATTCCAACGAATTTATGATGTACTAACTAGTTACCTACTAGTTTGGAATGTATTTATTGTTATTTCGCAGAAATGTTACCCGTTCGGAAGTAGTTATTGACTATAGAAATGTGATGGCAATAGCACGTATATATCCAATTACAAGGTTTTTCTCTCGGTCTTTCTAGTTCTAATTTCTTAGAAAATAGGCATTAATAGTTATCATTAATGGCAATCGCTCAGGCAAACTATTGGAAAGATTAATCAGAAAACTGATGATGACTTATTATCAGGGCCTATTTTTGATTCAGTTGGGCCAAGGCCCGAGCAAAATTGCGGGCCCCCAATATCCTATGACATTTTTGGAAACCTCAATTTTTGTTATTGTTTAATAGATAGAAGGTTAATTTCAAATTCATTAATTGTTAAATGGGACTGGGGAATAGGACCCGGCAGAGCAGAGAATTTTTATTCGAAAAACGAGTTATACATTTTCATATTGTTGCGTTCCAAACAACAGTGCAGGCCTAAGGTGACGTATGAAGTCAGTAACAGGCCTACAAATAACACACATATACTGAAGGACCTCTCGTAATGTCAATAGCCAGTTTGGTGCGTACACACATACCAAGAAAGTGCATTATGTACCTACTTATACATAGCTATAATACATGGTTTCCATAATATTTGGTGACAAAATCTTATATCCAACAATAATATGAATTAGGTAGTGCAAAAAAACGAGCAAGAACCCGATAATATATTACGAATACTAAAACAAACACAACAACAAAAAATTAAAGGCAGTTCTGCTTGTGCTTGAGGAACAACGAACAAAATGAAAAATTACAAATAAAAAGATAATATTTTTCATTTGATATTTCGAAAACCATTGATGATGGCTAAAACTGGGTTGAAACAGAATCTCTGAACAGCTGAAAACATGATGATGGTTCCATATGGTTCAACACATTAAATCTCATTTCAATAATCTGATACGGCTTATTTTATCAATCAAGTCTGAATTGGAATAGTTAAAACTAATTTTTTTCAATCCTATTCCGGGCCCCTTTTTACACCGGGCCTTATGTGCCTTATGGTAAAATATGCCATGTTTGTTATTTTCTGAAAGTTTACCTTATTATGGTAAAATGAATTGAAAAGTAAAAATCCTACACCGAAAAATACCAAGAATTCACTAAGCTAGTGTAATTCAATCCATGTTTTATTTGGGTTCACAACACGTCGTATAATTTATCTTCTATTTGTATATTATTTTGTTTTGATATAAAACACGATAAGGCGATCAAGATAACCATGAATGGGCTGCCAGGGATTTTCCATGCTAATACGGTTCCAAAAAATCATCATCATCCAAGATTTATGTAAATATTTACACGATTTGTTATTATATCTCTCGTATATTTACGTTAGCAGTGTTTTTCGACTTGAAAGATGAGCTGTTTTTTGCAATGTTATATTTTATGAATATATTGGAAGATAGGTTTTGACCGATTTTGTTTTGTTTCAGATAGTACTAGCATTCAAGAGTGTTTGGCTAGACAAGAAATTTGTGGTCAAGAACAGAGTACCATGTGGCTTCTAGATATACCACAAACGCACAATGGTAAGTTTATTTGAGTATTGAAAAAAAGTGAAAAAAAAAAAGTATATTGACGATAGACAAATGAAACTCCAGTTACTTTCAAATAATTCCAATGACATTGGATGACTTCCAAAGATTTTCAAAGATTCCCAATAACATCCAAAGAATTTTAATGAGTTCCAGAAAATTTTAAATAACTCCCAATGACTCCCAATAAGATCCTATACATTCCAAAGGATCCCAACATATTATAAAGACATATGACGACGCCCAAATGATGTATTACTTCCAAAACATTTAGTGACTTCCAACGATTTCAAATGACTTTCAAAGTATGACTTCCTGAATATGTCCAGTGAGTTTTAGAAACCACACAGAGAACCCTTATGAATTCAAAAGAGGTTGATAAAATTGCAAGTACTTCTGAGGTATCCCAATTTGTTTTCCAAACTTCCAATAAATTTTAAAAAAATTTAATGATTTCAAGATTTTATTGACTTCCACAGAATTTTAATGGCTTCCAGATAGTTTCAGTCAAATGGATGTTACTTTCAATTACTCCCCAATGTTCCTTCCAAAGAATCCCAATGAATTTGCAGGACTTCTAAACAATTCTACTGACTAAAGTATCCCAATATATTTCAAAAACTACTTTCCAAAACCATTCTAGAGGCTTTCAACATTTTTCGATGACTTTCAACTTTCATAGAATTACTTCCTAAATATGTTCAGTGTGTTTTGAAGACTTCCAATGACTATCAAAGAATTTTGTGCCTTCCAAAGAACCCTCATGAGTTCTACAAGGTTTGATAGGATTTGAATCACTTCTGAGGTAAGTATCCCAAATGATATCGAGTACTTATAGGGCATTTTAATTATTTTCTAAGAATTTCAATGAATTCCAAGGATATTCGAAGTCTTCGAATGACTTCTATCGGCATCCAAAGAATTCCGTGACTTTCAAAATAATCTCAATAAGTATCAAATACTGCCAATGACTACCAAACAATTCTTATGCTTCCTCAAGAATTCAAATGAGTTTCAGAGACTTTTAAAGAATTACGATTGTCTCCAGAGAACCCCAATGAGTTTCAAATACGTCCAATGACGCTTAAAAAATGTCAGAATCCAAGACTGAAAGATTTACAAGGACTTCCAAAGTGTTGAAAAGGAATATTCTCAGATAAATTATGAACATACAAAAATGGATATATATTTATATAAAGCAATACATTGAGAATTCGCATTCTCTATGTGATGAGAATATTTACTCTTTCTCAGTTGATTCGATAGAAAACAACTACTTTCCTGGCTATATGCCACGACGAACATTGAATTATATCTATTGAACACACACGATAAGAGTTTGAAAATAAAATATAAAAACTTCTGAAATTGAGAATTTGCATTCTCCTTCAGATAAAAATATGTATATGCACACATCATTCTGAATATTCAACAGAAAACAACTACTTTCCTGGCTATTTGCCTCGTCGAACATTGAATTATATCTGATGAACATTCAAATGTTCGACGAGGCAAATAGCCAGGAAAGTAGTTGTTTTCTGTTGAATATTCAGAATGATGTGTGCATATACATATTTTCATCTGAAGGAGAATGCAAATTCTCAATTTCAGAAGTTTTTATATTTTAATTTCAAACTCTTATCGTGTGTGTTCAATAGATATAATTCAATGTTCGTCGTGGCATATAGCCAGGAAAGTAGTTGTTTTCCATTGAATCAACTGAGAAAGAGTAAATATTCTCATCACATAGAGAATGCGAATTCTCAATGTATTGCTTTATAAAAATATATATCCATTTTTGTATGTTCATAATTTATCTGACAATATTCCTTTTCAACACTTTCATACCCAATCAGGGCGTTCAAACTTGAACGATGGAAACTTGTGATTTTTATAGACTTCTAATCGCAGATTCGTGATAGAGTCTCAATTCAGAATTTCTTTCCACGCCCTGTATGATGAATGTCAATTTATCATACACCCAAAAGCACTTCCAAAGTGTTTCGAATAATCCATTTAATTTTTCAGACTGTGAAAAACTTCTTTGTTTTCGCTACTACGACAACACGGCCATAGATTATCTGGCTCAGTCGGAGCCGCTGTTCATCAAACACCCTGTAGAGAAACTGAAGAAGCTCATCAAGTTGAAGACGAAGCGCTGCAATGGCATAGAAAACGGCGCCTTCCAAGATGAAGGCGAACCGATGAAATCTTCGGAAAATTCCGGCGAAGAGGAGGAAATTCCGGAAAATGCGAGGGAAATTTTGAAGGAAAATTCGACAACGGTTCCAGGGGGAGAGAAAGGGGGATTGACGAATGGGCTAGATTTGGAGATGGTGGTGGGGGGAACGAAGAAGAAGATCATGAGCAAGGGGAAGTCGCCTACTAAGGATTATTATCAAATTTGGAATACTTCGACGTCACCATCTCCAGAAGCAGAAGGTATTGACTTTTTCAACGTAATCCTCAGAGTTTATTTTTCACTTCACGGAACTTTTTTTATCGAAGTAAACTTACGACGACGAGACGATACAATAAGAACTTTGTTGCGTGGAAAATAAACTAAGAAAATTGACAGTTTTCTGAGTGGAGTTTCCTAAAGGCAACAGAACTCAAATTATTAATGTCAAGTTTACTATAACCAGAAAAATTGCTTGAGTGTAATAATTCAATGAGACAATATAATTTCATTTCATTTAATTTATTCAATTCATTCCATTTACAATTGAATAATGTCTGTAGGTTAATCGAGGAAGTGGTACATTCATTATTCCAGATTTTTTGGGATTTTCTCTCCTCGTTTCTATAAAATAAAAATATGAATATTATTTCAATACATTTGTAGTAAGGAAAAATCAGAAGATATCTCACTGCGTTTGAAGAATTTTTCTATCAGAGAACCTGACAGAAAAATTTCACTAGCTTGTCAGTGAAAATTTGTATTGAAAAAGGTTTGGAGAAGAGAAATAAAGGTATATAGAAAAATTATCAAATTTTCACTTAGCTTTGGACGTTTCGGGAACGAATCTGCTCCCGTTTTCAACATAAAAAATGGTTATTTGATTGCCAACGTCACCAATTGTCACTGAGAACTGAAAAGTTTCAAGACAGATACGAATTTGCTGTTCAACAACGCAAGTTTGAAAAGAATTGACATAAACGCCATCAAAGATTCATTCACAATTCTGAATGTCATCCTTTCATATGTTATGTTCCTTTTTGTCTCTAGAAAAGTTATTGTAAATTTCTTTCACTGTCATAATGACAAAATCACAACGATTTATGGTTTTCATCATACATGAATTAAATTATTGTCATCATCTATTCGAAAATATGACAGTCATCAATCAACCAATTTTCTGTGAATTAATTATTTGAAGAATTAATTGGTTTTGATTTTCGGAGGTACTTCTAATCATATTTCCACTTTTCCTTACCTTCCAAGGTATGTGATTCAATGTGCATATAGTTTTCCTCTTTTTCTTATCTCAACCTAATTAAAATCTATAAAATAATCAAGGAGAAGAAATTATTGGTTCAAAAATTTTCGATGCATTTTCAATCGTTTTTTACAAATGGCTGCTCTCCCGCAGTATGTGAGTCAATGTTTAGACAAACATTCTGTATCTCTCTTTTTGAGGTAATTTCAATCGTTTTTTTACAAATGGCTTGTCTCCTGTATGTAAGTCCATGTTTAGACTGTCATTCTTTTTCTCTCATCTCAACCTATTTTTCTGTGTGAAAATCAAGGTGGAGAAGCGAATTTTAGTGAATTTTTGATGTATTCAATCGTTATTCACGATGTTCTTTGAACATTATAGGGATTCCCTTTCGTGCGCTCCAAGCGATAAAAAAAAATGGCTCCTCTCCTGTATGTGAGTCAATGTTTAGATAGTCATTCTTCTCTCTCATCTCAACCTATTTTTCTGTGTGAAAATCAAGGTGAAGAAGTGAATTTTAGAGAATTTTTGAGGTAATTTCAATCGTTTTTTACAAATGGCTCCTCTCCTGTATGTAAGTCAATGTTTAGATGGTCATTCTTCTCTCTCATCTCAACCTATTTTTTTGTGTGAAAATCAAGGTGAAGAAATGAATTTTAGTGAAGTTTTGAGGTAATTTCAATCGTTTTTCACAAATGGCTCCTCTCCTGTATGTAAGTCAATGTTTAGATAGTCATTCTTCTCTCTCATCCCAACCTATTTTTCTTTGTGAAAATCAAAGTGAAGAAGTGAATTTTAGTGAATTTTTAGGTAATTTCAATCGTTTTTTACAAATGGCTCCTCTCCTGTATGTAAGTCAATGTTTAGATGGTCATTCTTCTCTCTCATCTCAACCTATTTTTCTGTGAGAAAATCAAGGTGAAGAAGTGAATTTTAGTGAAGTTTTGAGGTAATTTCAATCGTTTTTTACAAATAGCTCCTCTCCTGTATGTAAGTCAATGTTTAGATAGCCATCCTTCTCTCTCATCCCAACCTATTTCTCTTTGTGAAAATCAAGGTGAAGAAGTGAATTTTAGTGAATTTTTAGGTAATTTCAATCGTTTTTTACAAATGGCTCCTCTCCTGTATGTAAGTCAATGTTTAGATGGTCATTCTTCTCTCTCATCTCAACCTATTTTTCTGTGTGAAAATCAAGGTGAAGAAGTGAATTTTAGTGAATTTTTGAGGTAATTTCAATCGTTTTTCACAAATGGCTCCTCTCCTGTATGTAAGTCAATGTTTAGATAGTCATTCTTCTCTCTCATCCCAACCTATTTTTCTTTGTGAAAATCAAGGTGAAGAAGTGAATTTTAGAGAATTTTTGAGGTAATTTCAATCGTTTTTTACAAATGGCTCCTCTCCTGTATGTAAGTCAATGTTTAGATAGTCATTCTTCTCTCTCATCTCAACCTATTTTTCTGTGTGAAAATCAAATAATAATTAATAATCCAAAATAATTAAATATAAGTTATATATATATCGTGGGCGTACAAGCAGAATTATGTAAGTCCAGAAAATAATATAAGGAGAAAAACGCAATTGAATATTCGAATCAACCTGTAAAATTATAACGAAATTAGACTTAAGTAGATTTTCATTGACTATATCTCCGGAAACAAACGCAAAATGGACTTGGCCTTTGACCTGTCCAATAGCTATGTTATTGAGCTCATTTAATGGATTAAATTTTCTATCTATCTATCTATCTAATGTTTATTTGCCTGGAGCGTTACGCTAATATGGACTTATGTGTGATGAATTCCTCATTTCCGAAAAAAGTGGACTTACAGGATTCTGCTTGTACGCCCACGATATGTAATAATGTTTCTATGAAGAGACTTTAATTCGCTCATGAAAAAGAAATAATGTGTTGAATTGTCACTCTAATTCGCTTCATTTTCTCCCATCATCGTTTCCAGAGAACGCCTGCTGCCCCGCCTTCCCCGACGCCCCGCCCCTGCCGCCCCGCTCCCTCCACCGCCCCCTCGAGCGCTCCCACGCCCTGGGCGCCTCCTTCCCGCCGCCCACCGTCCTGCGGCAAAACAAACCCAAGAAGAAGAAGCACAAGGAGCAGCGGCTCGAAGACGCCTTCGGGTTCGAGCTGGTGGACACCGACGAGGAGTACAAGTCGTTCGGCACCGCCTCGACCGCCTCGTCGGTGTCGGACGCCGAGACGTCCAGTGCGAAGGTCAAGGCGGCGTTGATGGGGACCGCGAACGGGTTGATCGGGTGCGATAACTACGTGATGACGGTGCTCAGCAAGAACAGGCAAGTCGAATACCGAGTACATTCGTTTTTTACAGCACTAGCTATGAAACCTACCATTATTTACTCCTTTTCGAGGCGTAAAGTGTGTTTTTACTATCAAGGTAGTTTTTGTCATTCTATGAAATACTAGTCAATAAAGACATAGCCACCTCTGTTATAATTAACCCGAATTCACTGTTCTGATGCGAGATTCGCATTAATGGCACGCGAATCTAGTAGGTATTGTCTTCTTCTTCTTCTTCTTTTTCGGTTGGGTGGCCTGAGCTTCTAAGGCTATCAGCCACGTTCAATGATTCCAGATTGGATTGGAAAGTTATAACATTTCAATTCTGAGTAATCAAATCATGCCAAATATTTTTCAATCACATTGTCCTGACCAGGTATTGTTTAAGATTGACTTTACATCTGCTTACATCATGTATATTTTTCATTCATTCGGTAACAATTGGATAAAATTATTCCAATATGAAATACAGATTGTTTGCCAATGTTCAACTTGAATGTATTTACTATCAAGTAATTCAATTGTCCCGTAAGTATGGACTGTATTGACTTCATGAAAAGTTAAGTTTGATATTTAAATTTTATTCCTGACAAAATGAATAAAACAATATATTTTGAGTTTATGTAACGAAATCAGATTTAGAAAATTTCTAGGTTTGTATAATTTTACTGTTGGTTCTAGAAAATTTAGATGAAAAATGCACTCAATTGATTTGTTTTGTAATTTCATCAGTGGTTTGAGGCGTAAAATATTTGTGCTCCCACAAATAGAAATAAATATTGTAAATTTGAATATATGAGACAAAAGTAAATACACTTAAGGTATTTTACAGGAATGTGCAAAAATGAACCTCTTATCTTTGCGAAAAATTTATTCTATTCTAAGCATGACAATATATGAACGTAAGAACATTTATGCAAGCAAAAATTGTACAATCAGAGTATGGAAACAAACTGGAGAAATCTAAAACTTTGATAGATCAGCGAATCGAAAAGTTTTTGTCTTCTAGGTATGATGAAAACTTATTATTCACCAAGGCTAGTAAAATTCATGTACCCTATGGACTGGACACATCTACAACCAATATCGTTTATATGTGTCTCGTAGGTTGCAACACTAGCATTGTCTTATGTTCTTAATTCCATTCCCTTCGATATAATTTGTAGGTTAGCGGGTAGGATAATCTAACTTTCGGAATTATGGGATTTTGTCGAATAGACGATAGAATTATGAGTTCCTAGAAAAAATAAAGTATGCAACGCGTTTATAAACTGTTCTAGACACTCGTTCATTAATACTTCTAATTGAAATGGGACGAGCATATAGAGGTTCTGATACAAAAATGATCTCCAATCATTGGAGCTTTGCGAAGATGTGCTAAACTTGACAAAAAAGTCATAAACATAGTGCTTCATTCTCATAAACTTAGTCGTCGTATTACCTATATGATAAACGTTTGGGGATCTTGCTCAAAAAATTATTTCAGTAAAATATCTGCACTTTATAAGAAATCACTGAAAGTATTGTATCGCCTCTCATTTGATATCCCAACAAATGATCTGTATGCGAAAACAGAAAAATTTTCATTGGATGAGTTATATATAAAATAGAATCTCTTTAAAGTTTCATATAATATCATAAACAATAATCTGAAATCCAATTTTGTTTTGATAAGAAACTCAGAAATTCATGGTCATCACACGAGACAATTAAACTTATTTCATCTTGATTCTGCTACTTCTATAATTGGCCAAAAAAAATTAACTCACGATGCTCTAGCTGAATTCAATAAATTACCACATAATATAAAAAATTGCAGACATATTTCAAAATTTAAAATTGAATTAAAAAAACACATGATTTTATTACGAAATGGATAAAATTGATACTTTGCCATCTACTGATTAGTCCCTGTGGCTATTTTTATGACTTGATCGATTAAGCATTTTTAGATTTTTTAGATTTTTATTGTTGTTGTTGTCACCTTATATTATTTTATTATTGTTGTTTGTAATCAACTTCCTCATACCAGAATTTTATTTCTGACTGGAAGCTAGTTTCTCATATGGTCCCTTGATGTACATTGACGTATTTGTCATCTTAACAGGGTACGGACAGATCCTCGTCTTCTCTCACTCTAAAGTGTTTGTGAAACAGTTATATAGTTCCATCTTTATTCATTTCTGGGAATAAACACTAGATTTCTGACATTTGTTGTTTTTTAGGTTATATTTAGGACATTGGCGTATCATACGTAATTTCCACATGTAATTTCTCATTCAACTCTACATATTATATCCAAATGATGATGATAATTTTCGAGTTTTTGATTTTTCAACTCCAGCATAATCTTTGTGAGGCAGTGAGCAAATTTTTCTGAAAGTTTAATACGTTTTGCCAAATGGAACTGTTCTTAGGCAGTACCGCAGTACCCATCAAAAAATGAATTTTGATTTCAGACTAAGCCTTATGGTTGAGAAATGGTGAAAAAGTTTATGTAGGTATTCAAACTAATGTGCTCATATGTCATGTGTGCTGTATATATTCATGTTCAATATTTCCTGAATGTAGGTATAATTTTTTAAATGGTAGGGCATATGCCTCTTCCTTTAATCCTCCGTTTAATCAAAACTGTTTCTACTAAAATGCATCCAAAAACTTGTGGAGTGGATAATTATAGGCACAATGAGAAAGTATAGTATGTGATTTAGTATTAGTTTCACTATTTTGCTGATGTATTTACCAATTTTCCCCATTCGGTCACTTCACTTTCCATGTTCTAATAAGTTCATTTGCATTTGATGGATAGCTGACAAATTCAAATTTGCCATGCAACTGATTGCCACAGCCTAACGTAGCACATTTCTCCATCCTTCCAAAACAGAATTGAATAATGTGGTATTGAGATAAAGTATGAAATTAAAATTTTGTAAGATCTCTTTTAACGCCTATGAATGTGACGTGACAACAATGTCATGTCAGGGACACCAATACACGAAACCAAAGTCACTAGAAAGGAGCTATGATCTGTCCGTACCATATACGTATTAATAAACAATACGGATCATAACGGGTGCCAGGATGAAGCCAAAAATATGAAACAAATGAATATCCATAAGGATTTGGTGGCATGATACGCATGCGCCATGCGCTAGTATAGTAGTCATCAAAGACATGCGTTTCGGTGGACAATGACGTTTACTAGCCTTTCAATCAAAGCAGTATGTGTCTGATCGTTTCAAAACTTTTCCTTATGGATAGTCATTTGTCTTCAAAAATCGGCTTCATGTTTCGCTATGGAAACAGATAGAGATTATCCGTATTGATTATTAATACGTATATGGTCCGTACCCTGTTAGATGACAAATACGTCAGTTTGCATCAAGGGACCCTAGTTTCTCAATGAACAATAATAATAATACTATTAAAAATGGATTAATGGAATGAATATAAAAAAATCTATCTAACCATCGATTATTATCATCCTGCTATTTTCCAGTCCACAGCACATCGCCCACCTACCTCTGGAGGCGCGAGACAGCCAGAGTTCCAACAGCAGCTGCTCGACCGACGTTGTTGACGGCGACGGTGCCGACACTTCGGCCAAGATGCACAAGCCCTTGTCCCGGCTGGGGCTGGGCCAGGAAGAAGCTCCCAGAACGCCGCTGCACAGGCTCAAAGGCGAGGCGAAAGATGTGGTGAGGCCTCATCCGAAGGCTCTTCAAAGGGTGAGTGAAGAGATGGTGTTGATTGAGATGTTTATGAGAATATGATGTTCTCAATTGCGATTTTCAACTGGCGAGGCCAGGTAGCCGTGCGGACAGAGTGTCTATATTCTAATTCGCATTCGCTTGCCGGTCGTGGGTTCGATCCCCGTCGACTGCAGAAATTTTTCTGATGGCCCAAGAAAGTGTTTGGGATCACACGTTAAAAGGTAAGGCCCCCGTCATTCCTTGCTCGCACAAGACTCTCGAAGACTTTTGAGGGTTGCTCGTAAGGGGGCAACCGAATGACGGATAGAACAATTTTAGAACAATTTTTTATTCACACATTACGTGCCAAGCCGTGATTGGGGTGGCAATGGGGGCCAAACCACAGTTTTCTATCATTTGTGAGTATTTTACGTTAAAATGAAAGTTTGTTTGATACTTACGTGTCTTTTAGTAAGTCTTGGTTATATTTTTTTGGTTTCGTTGTGTCACTCATATATGAGAGACGTGGCCCCTCCCGTGGCCCTGTAGCAGAAAAAACGCAAATTTACGGTTTCTTCAGTATTTTCTATTTTGTTTCCTGGGTTCTCTATAAGCAGGCCACCAAAAAAACAACGGCAAAAGCATCTACTGACACGTGATATGTTGGGGTTCGTGTTTCTTGATGATTATTTCTTGCAATAAACTTGTGGAGGCTTAGTTTGGTCAGGAAGTTTTATCACGTTTTACTTTGGTCCACTAATAGCATGGTGTCGTCAGCCCACTGTGATCCTCGGTGTACTGATTTAGGCTTCAAACAATTAAGATTCGTTTTTCCTTGTTTTCGTATCCCGGCGGGGCTCGTTAACAATTTGGTTTTTTCCGCGAGCGAATGCGCATGCGTCCATAATGTACAGGGTGATTGTTTATAGCTATCTCAGTTAATATGGCTCTTACAGTTACGTTCAAAGTGGCAAAAATGAAGTATTTTTCATGGGCATTTAGAATCTAGTACTCTAAAATGCAAAGAAGCACCGTAATCATAAAAAAAATACACCCTTTATTTTATTTCTCTAATAGATGAAGCTCTTTCCTCTGATTTTGAATGGGTTGCGTGCAAGAACTGTCAGATGACCGACGCTGGAGGCAAAACATTGAAACACAACGTCACTTTTCTTATTTGTTTACAAGTGATCGAAATAGTTTTCCACAATTATTTTGGCATATGAATCGTATTTTTCCGCTATTCATCAATTCGCTCATGCCATCACATTGTGCTGTTGTAAAATGCACAAAAACTGCAGCGGAAGATGAAGCAATCCGGATGGTACATTATGATTCAAAAGTAAGTACATACTATAGTCACTCACATATAGTTTTCATTTTTGAAATTTGGTTATTTCTCTGATTTATCATCGGAATTCCTTCTGCAATAGGAGCTAATAGAAATATACCTGAAATTTCTAGAATAATGCAAGAAGATTGGATTCATGCAATCAATCGGGAGGACTGGTCTGACATGCTGACGATCGTCTGTGTTGTAGACATTTTCAATCTATTAGCAGTATTAGCTTGTATTGCAGAAGTGGTAGAAGGCAGAAGGAATTTTAATAAGGAATGACAACATTTCATAATGATAACTATGTGAGATTACTATTCACCTGAAAAATCATATTCTTTAGTCTCTTGCTGCATTTTTTGTGCATTGTACAACAGCACAATGCGAAGGCATGCTCGAATTAATGAATAGCGCAAAAAACATGATTCGTATGCCAAAATATTGTGAAAAACTATTACAATCCTTTGATTCCTCTGTAACCAAATGAAAAAGTGAGGTTGTGTTTCAATAATTCACAGAAGAATGAGGTTGTGTTTCAATATTTTGCCTCCAGGGTCGGTCATCGTGCACGCGACCTATATACATGTATACTTCATTGAGGTTATCTTTGTCAGTTTTCGGAAAATATAGATTCCAAGGCAGCTGTAGAACGCCAGAAACCGCAGCATTGTCGTCTGGCGTTTACACCTGCCTTAGATCTATACCGTGAAATCTATATTTTTCAAGAACTGACAAAAGATAACCTCAATAAATTATATATATTTTGAATCAGAAGACTAGGCAGATAAAATACAGCGTGTTCCATTTGAAAAAATACCAGATGATGTACAATTTTCAGGTATACGATGCTGTTTTGCAATTTCTGATAATATATTCTAAATGCCCATGAAAAAATAATTCATTTATTGTCCATTTGAACGTTTCTGAAAAAAATATGGGTTTGACTTGAATCAATTTGGTTTTCAAGAGAAAAGTGGTACACAGTCAGAGGTTTTACAAGTTATCAATTTTATACAAGATAGACTTGACAAAGGGAATTATGTAGTAGCTATTTTTTTATGGACCTAAAAAAAGCATTCAATACAGTTGCCCACAATATTCTCCTGAAAAATCTTAATTCAATGGGCATCAGAGGTATTGGAAACAATCTCTCGAAAACATATCTAGAAAAAAGGACTATCAGTACTAAAATCAATAATTGTGAATCTAAAATACTATATATAAACAAAGAAGTTCCCCAAGTATCAGTGTTGGGCCCAATTCTGTATCTTTTATACATTCAAAACATTTCAAGAATAAATTTAATTGGAAACTATGCCATATATGCAGATGACACAGTACTTTTATTTGAAAACAAAAACCCTGTAATTTTAGAAAACAACTTAAATGAAGATTTGAAAAAAATTGAAGAATGGCTATACTCCAATCTTCTTTCCCTCAATTCTAATAAGACCCAATATATAATTTTCCATCAAAGAAATAAACGAAATATTGATTTGAATATTAGAATAAAAAATGAAAGATTGAAACAAACTGCCTATACCAAATACCTTGATATTAGGATTGATGAAAAGTTAACATGAGACAAGCATATTGGCATACTCAAAGAAAAAATTTCTCCCATTGTTGGTGCCCTAAGAAGATGTCCAAAAATTATCCCAGATATTGCAAATACCGTTCTATATTCTCACATCCTTAGTAAAATAAACTATCTCATAAATATTTGTGGTTCATGTTCCAAGAATAATTTTAACAAAATATCTGTACTATATGAAAAGGCATTGAAAGTACTGTATCGTCTTCCATATGACACCCCATCAAATCAACTTTATGTAGAAACAAATACATTTTCTTTGGAAGAGCACTATCTGATAAATACTCTCAAAATTTCTTTTGATATTATCAAAGAACACCTCAAATCTAACTTCATATTGGTAAGGAATTCTCAAATCCATAAACATCATACTAGACAATATGACTTGTTTTATCTTGATGCTGCTAATTCTACACTTGGTCGAAAAAAGTTCACTCACGGAGCTATCTCAAAATTCAATAAATTACCTGATGATATCAAAAGTTGCACAAATATCACCCAATTCAAATTCAAAGTCAAGAAACATATCCTCTTGCAAAGAGAAAATCAAACCTGAGTGAATGATTTCTCATTGACTAATTCATTACATCATGTCATAATGTACTTTTCATGAGCTTTTTGTTTTATTTTATTTTTTTTTATTCTGTTGTTTATTTCAATAACTATAATTTAATTTGATAACGCATGAATAATCTCATACCAGATATTAATCTGTCTGATTATTCATGTTATTCCATTGTAAATGTTAATGATTATATTTATATTTGTATGAGATGCAATGTAATGTTTATAACAAAGAATGAAATAAATAAATAAATAAATATCAACTGAGATAGCTATTGAGTAAAATATGAGCAATCACCCTCTACCAGGTTCGAAAACTGTTTCGCAGGTGGCCGCCGTGTCCAGTAACCTGGCCAGCCTGCCCGTGTGTCCGCCCACGCCCACCCACCGCTCGAGAAGGCCGCGCGCGCCCGAGCTAAAGCCGCCCGACCTCAAATCCTCCGATCCGCCCCTCTCTCCCCTGGGGCAGCGCGACATAGTGGTCGCCCCCTCCTCTTTGGGACGGCGCGAGGTGGTGTGTGGGCCAGAGGTGAAGCGGGCTGACGTCAGGACGTTGGAGACGGAGAAGGGGGCGGGGCGGTTGGTGGGAGCGGGGCAGATGACGAACGGGGACAAGGATTCGTGTAGGTAAGTGGCTGATAGATGGTGTTTTGAAGAGGGGCTGTTGGGGTTTTGTACAGGGGTCTCGCTTGAATGTGTTTTCCTCTCGTAATTCTCAACATCTTTTGGTCCTTCAAAACTTTTCTGGAATAATTTTTTACGAAAATTCCGAATCAGTGCTCTGACAACAAAATGCAGGGTGTGGCTGCGAAGCTGTTTTTTTATTTTTAATGAAATGATTCAAATTTCATTCGATAATGATATTTATATGAAGAATTTATATTTTTGAATTCAGATTGCCGGGCTTCATCAAAATATGGAAACAAAATATAAATCATATCATTTGAAAAAAAATTCTGAGCCACCCTGTATTTTGTTGATATAACGAGAAAGTGAGCACAGATTCAGAGGATCCGTAAAAAACTATTCCAGAAAAGTTTTCAAATAACCAAAATATGTTGACAATTACGAGGATAAACGGGGGTCGACACATTTGAGTGGGACACCCTGTACTTCCTCGACTCATTCTGAATTCTTTCTTATAGAGAACCTTGTTATGATATTGTCTGTTCATTGGAAAAAATATGGAAAAATTGCCCTTATCGACGATGAGCCAGTGACCTTTATTTAAAACTAAAAGGCTATGTTAGAAATACAGCTGTCGGCTGTGTCGGTTATGACACTGACTTTGCTGAAAATCAAATTCTACAACAGTGAGCTGTCACGACGATTAATTTTTTTATATGATAATTATCTTTGGGAAAAGCCAATGATAAATTAGATAATTCATATCTGCACCAACAACTCATTATTTTAGAAGGGTTTGCATGATGACAAATCCAGCAAACCAGCTTTGAGATTTAATGAGTAGAATGTATGAATGTCTTGATTTGACAATTTTTTTATAATTATAAATGAATCACCATATTGTAGCCAACTTTAAAATTTTTATGCCCAACAATATGTTCACTTCATTATTCAATTGACTGATTGCTGAGACGAAAATATTCTATATGCCTGCTCTAGAAATCTGTCACTTTTTGTGAATTTTGTTGATTTCGGAATGGAAAATCGGCAGATTCAATACGGACTGTTGAATTTGAAGTTTTCCATTTGATATAATTACCCAAGAATTTCTTCGTATTCCTGTCAATATTCGCCTTTTTGTCAAGTTTGTAAACGTAGACGAGTTTCGGAATAATCCGACCTTTCAGTTCCCGTGGATCCTGAATATTCTGAATCTGTGATTGGTCGAGTGCCATTGAATAATGAGTTAGGATTCACGGTTCCTTGCAATCATCTCCATACATCAATTACCAACCAATATATAATCAATGTAGAGTACGGTAGTCGTAGAGTATGCAATGATAAGAAGCTCGATTTATTGATACTATTTGAATTCGAGGAGGAACTCATCAGTGCTGTAATGGAACATTACTGTTTGTGCTTAATTGAACTGATCACATGCAAGCTAAGAACAAAAGTGAATGGACTGCTTATTCACCTTTATAATGTTGATAACTTTGTCATCTCTCTCACACCTACATAAATATTTTGTCAAGTGAGAAACGGAAAATTATAAGTGATGAGTAGAAACAAATCCATGTTTCACACATAAGTTAACCAATGGGAAGAATCATAACAAGGAACTTATCGGATGGCATTCAGTCCCAGGAATTCAAATTTGCTCTCATTCAAATCGATTTTCTGAATGTTAGAAATATAATGCAGCATTTTCGATGGGTTGATTATTGGTTGTCGATGTTTCCAGGGGTAGGTCAGATACGAATGGGGAAGCCAGCGGGGGAGTGCCATTACCTCTCCAAAGGCTAAGTACCACCAGATTGCCGTCCATCCCTGAAAGGAGTCACAGGGCGATGATCGTACCAGATGCTACGGGGGAGGAAGAACCATTACCACCATGTGAGTAGGGGTTGGTTAAAAATATATTCGAAAATATATTCGATATTTTTTATAAGATTTTTCGTCTAAACTTGAAAAGGTAATGCTTATTTATCATATTTTGTCGATAATTAGTTATTGGAAGTTAGTAGCATGATGAAGCTACTGTAACAGTTTTGTTGAAGTTGAAATATTTCCAGTAATTTTCACAGAAATTCAGTAGAAATTGAAATAAAATTAGAATCTTGAAGTTCCTCACATGGGTAAAATCAGTATAGAAATAATTTTTTTTCAGGAAATGTTTGTCGAATTCAAACAAATGAGCCTATTTTTCAGCGATTAATTTAAATAATGTAACATTTGACATGTAGCGAAAGTCATTTTCATCTTTTTCCAAGCAAAACTTGAGGCGAGTTTCAAAATAAATTATTATCAAAAGTTTTTCCTATACGAAGTCATCTTGGTTTAACTTTCTTTGATACCGATGAGATAGACCGGCAGGTAGTGACAGCTTTTCGGACGTTATTTTTTATGTTAAAAAATGATACATGAAAGAATCCTCCCGGGTTCTTCATGCATTAAAGTGAATATCAAATGGACCCCGCACATTTAGTACGGAAAATGGCTTTCGGCTAATTTTTCTGAAAATTTGACATGTTTCAGATATTAGCGTCCTTATCACACATTCCAATTTACAGATCGATCCTATGACCACTTTTCGAGCTACAGGGTATCAATCATTTGCTTTTGGCTGTTTAGAATATTTTGCATCGATTTGAATCATGTGTTCTAAGTCGTGCTAAATCTTTAGTAGAAATGAAAGCTCCACGTCTGATTTCTACCACATGAATCCCTCTATTCGACTAGATAATAATATCAGAATTTCGATTTTTTCTCATTCACTGAAAACTTGAAAACGAACGGCTAGAATTGGCCAATTTTTTGACACACTATGGATCTTGATTATCAACATGAGGATTCATATGATTTCCTCTGTTATAATGTCCGGTTCGATATATATAGTGGGTGATGACAATTTGAAAGCTTAGAATTGATGTAACTCATATTCAAAATGAGATGCATATCACAAATGGTTCATAACTGTTCATATAATATATGATGTGGAAAATTAAGGTTCCCATGATATACCCCCACCAACCCCCTGAGTCACAACCACCCCAACCCATATAATTTCAATAGTAGCCCCGACTTGTGATACCTCATTGAATAGCTGGGTGAAAATGCATTCCAGTGGTACTATTCATATCTCGGACTAGGTGAACTAACAGAATATATTTATTACCTATATCATTCTGCTGTGCTATCGATTATATCGAGCACTATAAAGACCTATTGCTGATGAAATAGTTATGTTCAGGTGATTTGAAACAATGATTTGTGTACAGTAGATCGATGTAGCGAGAGAACATGGCAATGTACAGAATGTCTAGTTCCAGGTAAGTAAATGAGTATGTTTTCATGAGATCAAAATTATGTTGAACAATTTGACTTAGTATTGGTAATATTGGAGTTAGCCAATTTCGTACATGAGTTACATCAATTCTAAGCTTTCAAATTGTCATCACCCTATATATGGCAAACCGGACATAGTATCAGAGAAAATCATATGAATCCTTATGTTGATGAAAAAGATCCATAGTGTGTCAAATAATTGGCCGATTCTAGCCGTTTGTTTTCAAGTTTTTAGTGATTGAGTAAAAATCTAAATTCTGATATTTTCAATATTTGTCTATTCCCATGAATATTACCTTGTCATGATGGAATGCAATACCCTGTATGTGATATTATTATCTATTCGAATAGAGGGATTCATGCGGTAGAAATTAGACGTGGTGCGTTTATTTCGACTGACGATTTATCACGACTTAGACCACACAATTCAAATCGATGCAAAATGTTCTAAACAGCCAAAATCAAATGATTGACACCCTGTAGCTCGAAAAGTGGTCATATGATCAATCTGTAAATTGGATTGTGTGATAAGGACGGTAATGTCTGAAAAATATAAAATTTTTAGAAAAATTAGCCAAAAGCCATTTTCCGTACTAAATGTACTCATTAACATTTTATTTGTTGATAGGCGTAAAAATTGAAAAAACGTTCTTGTGTTTCTTCAGCATGGGAGGCTCGAATGGACAGCCACGGCCGCGTCTTCTACATCGACCATTCGACGCGCACGACGTCGTGGACACGGCCTGGCGTCGGGCCGGCCGGACCGGCTACGGGGTCCGGCGCAGGTGCCGGCGCCGACCAGCACCGTCGCCAGCTCGACCGGCGCTACCAGAGCATCCGGCGCACGATCAGCTCGTGCCGGATGGACGACGGGGTGGGGGGGGAGTGTCCGGCGGGGGGGCCGCCCGGATGCAAGATGCTCACCAGGCCGGATTTTTTCACCATTTTGCACATGAATCCGGTGAGTATTATGATGATATATGATTTTCAATTGTTGCTGTTATTTTTTACCCCAAGAAACATATTTGTTTATAATAGGGATATATAAACATATGATAATCAGGTCGATTCTGTTCGGATCTTGTTATAACATTGCTAAGATAATAATATTGTTATGATCTTAACATATAACGCTATTGCTATGAAGTTCTGTATTATGTTTGCAGAGTAACTGCAAGACTGGTTATGAGTTTAAGTGATAGCAATATTGTTGAAAAATTGCGAATTTTTGAGCTGACAACACTGTTTTCAACTCATTGTTTGAGTGTTAGGTATCGATTTTGCCATTATTTCACGAAGAAGAAGAGTTCATGCATAGTGGAAGGAGAAGATGGTGTGCTCAAAAGAAATCTCAAACTCGTCTTGTTCTGCGCATGACGTCAGCTGGGATATAACTGTCATTGTTATTATTTGTTTTCGTGATTGATGTCTCGAACTTCAGATATTATATAAGTACTAAAATTGAATGAAATAATTTCCAAATGTCTACTTGTTTCGTTGCTGGTTATGGAAATTCCAACTCACATACAAAAGGCACAGATATTGAATTTTTCTGCTTTTCCAAGAATGAGAATGAGACCTAATGAAACGTGGGAGCTTGCTGCCGACAGAATATAAACTCGAATTATGGTACCTACCTTTTATTCCTTATATCCTCATTCCAAAGTATTCACCTATCATATTATCATCACATTCATATTACAGTCCGTATTTCTTCAAAACATTTCCATGCAAAATGTTCCCAAACAAGTGCGAAAGTATGGTTCTTGAATTACACACTTCCAAAAAATCACAAATATTTGAAACAAGATGCCATTCCTACAGAACATCTTCCGAATATCAAGTCAAAGATAATTGAAAATGAATTCAAAACTCTTAATTTCTCACAAAATATGAATTGCAGCAAAGGTTTGAATAACAAAACGTCAAAAATTGGTACTCCTGTCCTGTTGTCGATGTCGGAGCAGAAGCAACTGTTAACTGCTGAATTTCAATCTGTCAGAATCGACACAGTAGCGGATCATTCAGATGGGATTGGCAATGCATGATAATTCGTATGTGTTTGCTATTTGCGATTGCGAATTACCTCAAGATCACAATTTCCAGATTCAATGAAATAGTAAAATCGAAGGAATAGGAACCTGTTTATACAAATTGAATTATTTCTAAACAGATCGAGAAAGTGTTGAAAAGGAATATTCTCAAAAGCAAGATCGAGAAACTTAAAGAAATTTCAATGAACATGATTGAATTCATTGCGCACGCCCATGGCAACGGTATCTGTCTGTGACTAGCACCTGATATTGGTATCCCAGATGACGTCACATAATATGCGCGTAGGCACACCATCTTCTCCTTCCACTATGAGTTCATGATTATCTAACCTCTCAAATTAGTCAGTCCTGTACTGACATTTTACAAAATTATATTGTTCAAATCGAGAGATTTTGTATTTGCTGAATCTGGTCGTCGTTGTGCGACTGGTGCAAGTAATCAATCATGTCCCCGAAATGAGAAACAACTAAAAGCCGGATGAAAATAATCGTGATTTTTTTTTAATATTCTAGCAAAATAGTTTGATAAACTATCCATCAGGCAACTGAAATGGTTTTTCTGGTTCTCAATATGCCGAAATTGTAGTCTCATATTTCCTCTACAAATTGGAACTTCAAGAAAAGGTTTTCAAGTCGTTGGTCACAGTAGTGAACCTATCCTATTTGTTTGTAATCACCATTCTAAGTTTTTCAATAAAAGTCTTCTACGAATTGAAACTTTTAGGAAAGGTTTTCGAGTAGTCCGTGACACAACTGAACTCTCATATGGTTTTAATCCACTATTTTCTGAATGTTCATACAGTTGGAAGAATTTGTAGTGCAAAAATGAGGAATCCACTACCTTGTTATAAGATAGCAAGCACAAAATTGATGTTGCCGAGATAGCAAGAAAGCTGACCAGATGTCATTGAAATTGACAGATCATATTGCCAAAAATCGATGATTAGAATTCCACTTTTTCGAATCTTGCTATGATAGCAATATCTTCTCTACAACCATATTGCTATTTGCAAACAGAATCGACCCGATTGTCACGTTCAAATCTCCAGGAGTAGAATTGTAGGTATGCATAATTCTTCCCGAGACATTCAAACCTATGACTTAGGGGTTTCACTCGCTTGGCAGCTAAATAATGAGGCCAGATTCAACTTAACAAATTCAATAATTTTTATTCAACGGAAACTCACATAGTGGTGTGAACTGAATTGAAAACAAAATGAGAGTAAAATAATAAAGAGATGTCGAGCGTCAACGAGACAAAATAAGCAGAACACAGTATATAAAATCATATGAAAATGGAGCACAAATTGAAAATGAAAATCATGTACTCACCAAAGAGTGTGCTTCTCCATGGGGGTAGAACTCGAGGGACGCGTGGGATCGAAAACTAAACTTATTCAAAAATGTTACTCGCGATCGCACTACTCGCGATCTCTAATCGTAATGCCGGCTTTCTAATCGAACTCTATATTCCTCGTTTCGAAAAATAATAAGTCAGCGATTATCTACCCGATCATAGGTGCCAGCGACCTGGTAAAAATGATTGCAAATTGAAATAATACTAATTGAAATTGGATTCCTGATTTCCTTAGCTGGCAACTACGATCGACTGTACTGTCTTCCGGAAATGTAAAATAAGCTATGAAAAATATATTTATTGAGAAAAGAATGAGAATTATATCTTGACAATATACAGCCTTTCTCACTTTAAACGGCCCCCCCTCTATATCTCAGTTAGTCATGCGATTCCAACCAAAGGACACCGCACGACGTTTTTATAGGCCGCTGAAGTCTCAATGTCACCAGAGGACACCGTCTCCTGTCGAAGACATTCTGAACAAAATGGTTTTTTTTTTCAGGAAGCTTTGGCTTTGTATAACAGAAATCCTACGTTGAAGCACATGATCGTAAGGATACGAAGGGATCCTAACATCTTCGACAAATATCAGCACAACAAGGAATTAGTTTCTCTAGTCAATTTATTCGCTGATACGACACAAGATCTGCCAAACGGATGGGACACAAAAAAGGACAGAAATTCAAAGGTAAAAAAATCGCGGAAAGCCTACACTAATACGAAAATGACGATGAACAATGTCCTATTTGGGATTTTAATAAACTAACACTCGATTTTTGTTTCATCTAACCCTCCTACTAACCCGCTAAATTTCGGACGGATAGCCATTCTTCATTGATCACTCTAACAAAAGAACTACTTATATGGATCCCAGAGTACCCGTTGAACCTGCTTTTCCTAGAAGAGTATCGGATGATGCTCAAGTAAGTACAACGTTGATCTTTTTGAGGCTTTGTGATTAATTTAATTAATCTTGTAATTTTTCTGTTTTCCTTTTTTTTTGTTTCTTCTTTGCTGTGTTTCTTCTTTGTTGTGTTTCTTCTTTGCTGTGTTTCTTCTTTGCTGTGTTTCATTCCAGTACTAAACAAACTGATTTTTCAACGCCTCGGAAAGTGTTTGTCTTGATAATGTGTTTGATATAACTGTTCGCCACAGCTATTGATCTGTCATACACATTTTTTTTATAATCATAATGAAATTAGCGGAATTTGCTAAATTTTCGACAATCGACTAAGTTTGACGCCGAATTTTTTTTCTGCGAATAATTAGTTTGTAAGTTTCAGGATATGAGTTATTTTTTTCATCAATGACCTAAGACTGATTCAAATTCCTTTCGATCATAGTTGAAATATTCATGAATCTCACGGTTTTTTGTCTCCCTCCGCTACGCGTTGGGAGATGACACAACCTCGAGCTAAAATCTACTACTTCTTTCCCTTGTATAATAAATTAGTATCATTGTCGTAGGTAACAAATATTGACTCCTAAGGTTGTATTGTATGTATAAGGGGCGAAAAAACTGCTACCTAAAAGATCTATCATGCCCCCTTCTGATATTGCAATAACCAATGAGGTTGTTGTCCGTAGCTATTGCAATTTCACCAGTCCTATATTCTAAGCACACTTTTATGTTGAAAACCTGATGAATAATAATGGCGTGTTCTAAGCAAATAGTGAGAAAAGTACTTGGAAGGTATTGGAAAATTACTAACTATAGGTTCACATCGGAGTTTAACCTACATGAAGTATCTACACAAAAAAGTTCAGTGTTTTTAAAAATTCGTTGAACAAACTTTAGTAAATAATGAAATATTTCTTCTGCAAACTATGATTACTAATAGTTTTCTAACGTAGATAGTAGGTGAATTGAGTATACCTAATTGTTGAATGTTGACAAACGAAGTCTCCCCACTTTCAACACTGTTATCTATAATAAAATAGGTAGGTATATTTTCATCATCTTCTAGTGCTACCTTTATATAAAGTGATCCTTTCAACAGTGATGGAGGAATAGTAAACGTCAATTCACCTAATATATTATTTTTTGTTCTTCAACATTCCGTTGTATACCACCTAATGGAGTCATCATATTTCACTAAGAAATTCAAAACAAACTAAGGTGAGTCACAGAAACTCGTCTACTTTATCGGAGGATTAGAAATTTTTGTCTTCTGTTATGATATGATTATTATAAGTATTCATTGATAGTAGTCATAAGTCATCCGTAGTCAATATCTAATAAGAAGTGAAAATGGCTCAGTTGTTAAGATCCCAGCTTCAGAATCCAAAGATCGCACGCGGCGACTGGTCACTTCTTTTTTTCAATTTTCAACCGTCGGCCAGAGTGACCTATTGACGTCTGACTGACGTCGTTTGCCGCTCTTTTACCGCGTCGGCAACTTCTGGCAAGCAGGTTTCGGGCCGACGTAATAACGACCGAAATTGTTGGCTGGGTACTACCAAGCTTGTTGCCCATTTCTTTCTAGCTATTAAAAGAGAAAAAACCTGAGTCGGGCCCTTCTTCGTTTCAGGCCCCGGTTCCTCCTCCTCGCACCACCGCCACCACCTCCACCACCTCCACAACTTTGACGAGCTGCTTCGCCGACGTTCCTGCCGCCTACAATGACAAGGTGGTCGCTTTCCTGCGCCAGCCGAACATCTTCGACATCCTCAAGGAGAGGCATTCGCCTGTAGGAAGTTCTTCTTCGCTGAGGGACAAAGTCAATGCCGTGAGAGTGGACGGGACCTGCGCCCTGGACAGGTTCAGCCACGACGTGCATCTTACTATTCTGTTAAGGTGAGTTTTTTAACGGGTTTTTCCAGCTTCGAATCCGTCAAGTTTTTGCCTGTTACTGTTTAACAACAAAGAAAGGATTTAACCAGGGCCTTCTCAATATCAACAAGCCGTAGTCTATCCCCTCTACCTCGATGCTGACGTCACACTAGTAGGTTGAGATTTCACATCATTTCATTTCATAAGGTTATAGCTCATTTACTTTGAAAATTAGAAGCACACTCAATCAAGACGAACTGATCCCTGATGAACTACCCAACTTTTGGTAAAAAAATAAATTCATTAGGATGAACCAGTACCGATTTATGATGTTGTAAAGAAATTCAATTTTAAGGAAAATCAGGACATTGTGCTACGGAATAATATTTTTTGCCAATTTGCAATTGGTTTAAAATGAAACTGACTGAGTATGTCAAACTAGGATAACGCATCATCTAAATAGTGAGAAAATTATTGAGCTACCTACAATGAGTCCGAAATAAATTATAAATAAAGAGCGCGTAAAAATTTGTCTAGTATTATACCTACCTAATTTCCCTGTATTAACGCGGTAATTCCCTATAGGTAAAGGGCAATGCACGTTTCATTACTCATGTTCCAGTTGTGTGTCTTATGATATTATGACAACTATATTGAATATTGTGTTGAATAATTAGGTATTAAAATTTGAAATATACCGGGATTCAGTCAAATAATAAAAAAAGGAGAATCATCAGACTTTCCGGATGAATATGAAGCTTTGAGCCCATTTTTTTGTTTGTGATATATATATTTTGTTATAAGTACATGTTATTTTGTAATATCTGGCTACTTTTTCTCTTTTATCATGTTGAATATTTTCAGAATGGCTTTCGTTTAGTATTGTGTGTATGAGAACTACATATTTTTTGTTCTTTTTAATTTTCATATTTTGAAACTGATTTCAAATCAATGTATCTTCATCAATATAAGATTATATTCAAAATATATGCTGAAAATAATTAATTATAATATAAATATATTTGCTGACAATAATTAATTCGCTGTCATGGTTTTTGCGTAATAATTTCTAACGGCATCAAAGTGTGTCCAGATTATCTTTAGACATAAACGTTGCTAAAATCCTCTGAGATACAGTAAAAGTGTTTCATATCGATTTGTAGGCAATGAAATTTACTACAAAAAAGTCAGTGACAGCGTATATCCACAACTAATAGGTTCAGCATGGGGGCCGTCTAAACTTTTCGAACTTTTCTGTAATAATCATCTGAATGACCATTTTATTTGAATTGAAATATCTACTCTGAAATACTATGAAATGCCTTTGCATGGTTGAATCATTTCTGTGAATTGAATATTGGAATTGGAGCAGCAATTCTGAATGTACTCAATTCATTTTGATATGCTATGTTTCTTGAACTATTAATCGTAAATCAGTGAATATTGATTCATCTCTTGAAAAAGTCTAGTCTGTACATATTTGATCTCTTGACATTTTTTGATAACTGTTACCGTTTTCCCGTGGTACATCAATGAATTGGGAAGCGCAAATTCCAGCGCCTCGATTTTGTCCCTACTCGGAGAGACTTATGACTGCGCCAAATTCTGATTAACGATCGTTATAATGCTACTACGTCCCACAATAACAACAGTGGGTGATTTCTCATCCTCATGATTCTCATCTTCATTGTGTAATTTGAAATATACTCTGTCATGTTTATCCCCAGTCATGTGATACTAGAAGTATGTCTAGCAGGTATTCTTAACTACAGTATCCTCATGTAGCTTCATGTGTCGCCATTAGTTGTTAGTGCTAGGTAACAATATGAACTTTAGACAGGTTTTCGCACATTATCATGCTGTTGAAGTGTGCCTCAACTTGTTTTTCAGCTTCAAATCGATCACATATTCTTCTCTAACTGTATAACAAAAAAAGCTCAATAAGAAATGGAAAATCATCTCAAGATATGTCAACCATCTGGAATTTGAAGTGGCTTATGACTGCACCAAAAACTGATCAACGATTCTTATAATGCGTCGGTGTTTACACAAAAATAACAAGAGTGGTTGCTTTCCTCATGCCTTTTATCTTCAATTCGATTATTGACAGATACTAGATCTGTCTCTGGCCAGGTTCAGATAGGTCATATTGTCACATTTTTGTCATTACTCGAATCGCTGAGGTAGTTGATAGCAGAACAACAAATTTAAAAAAATAGAAAACTGACTCGAAATGTGTGGACAATACAAACCACCCGGCAATAAATTATTGTCGATGTTACAAATAAATAACAACTTTAGTGAGTGCTCCTCATCTCCAATGTGTTTTTTGAATGGTGTTTACGATTCTACAGCCTTTGTGTTTTTGAAAAATGAACTTTATCAAAATTGAGATTGAATGAACAAATAACAAAATAAACAGCAGGATGCACTACGTCACTACGAAAAACATTCCACGGTGGTGTTCGCTTGGAGGCTCCTGGTCGTTAACCACGACTTCCTCTGGTTTCTCAAAAGGCATTTTTGGTCAGATTCTCTTGGTAGGTATAGTGTTGTCGGCATCTAATCCAATATGTGTAAAAACCACAAACATGCACAACAGCCAATAAATAACTAACGAAAAGGTTAACTGACTAGCGGAAAGTTCGTTAAGCACCTAATAGAGCTGATCAATAATCTAATAGTTGAGCGGCAGCACGTGGGAGCAAAATTTCGGAAAGTAGATAATTATCACTCCTATCTCATGCTATCGGTCACTGGGTAAAACCAAAAAGCTAACTTATAAATTTAGGTGGGTCAGTGCCATCACGTGAGTCAGTCGGTTCATAGTGCAACTAACCAATACGCGGACACAATTGTGATTGTGAATTGTGAATTCAAAATTAAATCAAAGGCTTTCTGAAACAAATGGTACTCTTGCATGTAGAGCAACGAAGAATGAAACATAAGGAATAGAAATATGCCTCTAAATATTTTAAATACATTTTCTCTGCAAACAATTTTGGTCGGCCTTATGCTGGCCAATAATATTCTGTCCAAAATTGGTCAGAACTGCAAAATTCCTGAGCATTGATGGGCCAGTACCATTAGGAGACTCAGGGCCAGTTGATGTATGCCGATACATTCAAATTAAAAAAAAATACAACCGATACGGGATTTGAACCCCGGTCGAATCGAACTTATTCCAACTGAGGTACTACACCTTTCTTGATATGATATGTGTGTACGGAATTCATTTGCGGTTTTTCGAATAGGAATATTTCATTTATAATAATATAAAAATAATAATAATAATAATAATACTGGCCAACTGGCCATTGTTACTAACTACATGCGCCACCTTAAGGAGCAGCACTGTTAATTAGAAAGCAACAGCGAATCGTGCGGAATTATCTCCGGCTGGCCGAGGCTATGAAAATTTTAATTAATAACTCGTTTTATGCATACTTATTTTCTGCTCTTCCGGGGATCCGAAACTAGCAAACTTTCGATGTTCTGATTGCTAGTCGAGCGTCTCAACCACTGCGGTATTCCGCCGTATTAAAAATTAAATTTTTCAATTGAAAATGAAATATAATCTTACTATATATTTGGCACGGTGCCTGCTAGATTATAGTTGAACGATTTCAATATGCCATATAATGGGTAGACGATTGTATGGCGTAGGTAAAACATAATACGAATTGACACTACTGGTCTAGTGCCGGCTGAATTATATGCAAACGAATACAATATGCCATACAATGGGCCGACGTTTGACCAGTGCAGCTTGGCCATGGCCAGCAATCTGCCGAACTATCATTTACTGAGTCAGAAGGCGGCCAGATATTTGATGTTTGCTGGGAACTTTCTGGTGGTACTTATGACTGCGCCCAAACGATCATCATGGATCTGCAACGCTGTCTCATCAACGGATGATGATGGGGTGGATAGATCTGATTTTTTTCTCAAAAATTTTTTACTGTTGGGATGAATGCAGATGTATTTTCTCCCATTTTCATATTAGTTTGCATTTGTCACACGATGATCTGTGTTGCTGCAGATGATGAAAAACAATAATGAATGGAACATACCTAATTGGCAAGAGAATAAATATAAGATTGTCCTGAGGTTTGTCAAAAATATAATTTGAGAATCATGTCAACAACAACAATTTGGAGAAACGTATGACTGCGCCAAAAATAATTAGGGTTGTTTATACACAAGTTGGCAAACTAAAAGGTTGATGCGAATAGAATACAAATTTATTTTCTATTTCCGATGAAATTCCTGTGTTATCACGTCCATGGGAATCCTAGATTGTGGATAGAATAATAAAAACCCTGTTAATTGAGGAAGAAATGTATTATAAATTTCTTTGACTACCGATCTAAGAGTCGTTGAGATATCTGATAATATTCGAGAAAACTGTTTCAATCATTTTTAAACGACTTATTTCGTTCTGCTTTGCCACACCTGCTGAGATTGTCAATTTGAAACGGTTACAACCATATCAACACTGTTTCTGAAATTATGTATCTCCTGCTCCGAATACTATTGATAATAATAAATATGTATAAATAGAACGTATAATTGCTGTTTTCACGGCGAGCGGTCTACCTTTTTTTTTCACATTCCAACATAACACACATAACATCGACCAAGAAACATTTTAACATGTTTTAACTAATATAATGCTCTGATTTATTATGATTCATGATAGTAACACGCCGGCATGTACATATATATATCGAAATAAGGAGATAAGTCATTGAACCATTTCTCTTTCAAAAAAGTCGCAAAGAAATTGTAGTACAGGGTGTAGCGAAATTCATGCAATTATTGCATTTTCAATCTTTTCAATGTGAAAAAACGTAACTGCAAGATTTTGTTGTTCAAGTTCAAATATGTCAAGTAGGTACGGTTGTTTTGAACATAGTTGAAGGATCTATGTCTTCTCAACAAAATTGAATAAGGAATTCGAATAATCATAAATAATCTCAATTTCAGCAGTGGCATAGATAATATGAGATGACTAGGTACTAAGGTACACTTGTAGCTCCATGAAACAATGTTACATATTTCGAAAAAAAAAATGCATATATCTATCAATATAAATTCTCATAATATAGTAATAAAAATAAGTGAAAATAAAGCATATTTTGGATGAGATTTTGTATACAGGGTATTTGAAAATTATTGAACTAGTCCCCTTAGCATACTTTATCATCTAATAAGTGTTATAAAATACACTACAATGAAGAAATAGAATGGTTATAAATAATTTTTGATTCGAGTTTGTAATGTATCGAGATAAGATGCCAGAAAAAGTAGAGGTATGTTATCATATCCACCGCGTAGCCAGTACACATATTATAATGATGGATATCTATCTGGGCACGAGCTAGTACCTAGTAGTTTCCTCTTATCTCTTCTGAAATCACTTTGAATTATCATATAGTGACTCTGCCAGGTGTGATAGTTGTCGATATCAATAAAATGGGGAAGTTTCTTACATTGAGATTATCAATTTCGCAAAGTTTGAGAGAAAATGTTTGTTTCGTATTTTTTTGCGGTGAAATTTGATTTCAGGAAAAATAATTTTGGCTCTTTCGCCATTTGGATGACTTTCTTACTGAAAATACGACCCAAATACGGCGATGCCGGTTCAATTTAAATGTGTCAATATTTAGAAATTCGACACTAAATACAAAATACCACTATGAATATTGTTCAGTTCACCTAGGCTTACAGTTTACGAGTTTTCAAGACTTGAATGACTGGGCCTCAATGTTATCTATGGAAACTATCATATCAACTACCCTTGATATGAAAAACTCGTTGAAGTAATTTTCAAGTCAACGTTTCTGAGTTTGCAAAACCATTTTGTCACTAAACTCAAATTTCATTAATATACACTCTCCGGCAAAAAAAACTGGTCGCCAAAAAATGTTTGTCCGATTTTGGTGAAATTTGGCCAAATCGTATATTCATGTTTCGAAATGTTAGCCTGAATATTAGGTCCTAAGAAAAGCTGATGGCTTGATCATTATACAGGGGGGAAGAAAGATACTCTTTCATCCTTAACTTCTGAACGCCCTGTGGCAAAGGTGAGTGGTTATACTCAGCTTCATTTTGTTTTGGATTAAAATAGTTACAGGGTGAACAATTTCTGCAAATTTTTTGGTGGCCGGTTTTTTTTTGCCGGTGAGTGTAAGTATATTTGTTTTTATTTTTTCGGAAATCTTCATAATCATAATCTCGACTGCTAGCTAGTACATATTAAATATCAGAAATCGCAAGTCGATTGCTTCATGAAATACAGGATATTGAAGAATAATCGAATTTCATTTTAACAATATAAAAATGTATACAGGGTGGAGACTCTAACTGGAATAAATTCGCTAAGGGGGAATGAATGATTTTTCTGAAAATCCGCGAGACACGTTAACGTTTAAATGTATTTACCTACATTTGGCAAGCAATATGGAGAATTGAACCCTTCATGGGTAGCTGGAATCAACCAAACTTGTTTCTTTCAAATGGAACCTCATGGCTTGCGACCCCTCAGGAACGCTGGTTGAAAGAGGAATCCAGCGTACTGATCATATTTCAGTTTGCAGTACGTTCGGAGGATATATTTTCAACGTATATTCATCAAAATTTCTACCAGTTTGAATAACACTTCGGCAAAAAAAAAACAAATTTCTTTTTGCGGCTCTATAAAAACACTGGAATGCAATAACAGATAGTAGTTGTGGCAAAAAATTGCCATCAATTATTGCTCAACACACATTTTGAGCGAT